GACTATTCAGGACAATAGAACTAATAAAATCCCATTATCCGCGCACATCGTTAAAGTACGCTAAATGTACCATCACATTGAACATAAATTCTGCAGAAAATTGAGAATGGAAACTGTAATGCCCATGATGGAAGGTTTCAAGCTTAAACCACATTAATAGCTAAAATCGTAGATTTTCTACAGTAACAACTTAAACATAAAATTGTAATGTTAGCTGCTATTTAAAAAACAATAACAAAATTGTGCAAATGAACAATTCTTAAGGACATGAAAATATTGTTTGATACACATATACTGTATAATAATTTACACAAATAATCAAAACATCTGCAACATAATCACACGCTAATTCTTGAAGTAATGAAGATTTGGCACTTGAGATTACACTTCCTTGACAGTGGCATTCTCTGGCTGCATTCGCAGTCATGCTTGGTGACCAGTATGCTTAGTGCATTTTGACAATAATGTGCCCTATCAGTGAGATTTCCCATTATGATTATGAAACATCACCGACCTTAAGAGTACCAAAACCAATATCTAATATCTTATTATTACATGTGTTTGTCTTAAAAAAGAAGAGAGCAGAATAATAAACTCAATTTTTTTAAAGCTCTTAGCTTTTTATGTATGATTGAAATTGTTTGAGGTTTAGATTTTCAGAAGTGTTTCCACATTGCCTGACATGTAGATTTATGTAGCAGGTATAGAACAATGGATCCTGAGGAGTGAGTTACAAGGCTATACAAGGGTTTCTGATGATGCCATAAAGCATGAGGGTGCCGCTCCAGCAATTAGTGAACATCAGCAGAAAACCCAGACTGAATTACAGCCTTAAGCACAGGACACGGCACCTGTTATTTTATATAATTTGTGCCACCTACCTTTTGGATGTAAAACAAAATTGCATCTGTAACATGCTCAACTCTCACTGCACTGCTGAGGCAGAGTGCTGTGAGCAGTCTGAAGCAGTACCACTGTGATGATGATGATGATCTCAGGAGGGGAGAACAGATGATTGTGATGCAGTGACTTCTAAGTAGAGAAAGAGAACAATGTGCAACTCCTGAGAGGATAAAATCAGACATTTTATTTAATCATAGCAATCTGAGTTAGTGTGTCAATTGGGCATATTGTTATTACTTTGTTGACAAAATACTACAGTTACTACATTGTATAGTATATCCTGTGAAGCATAGTATATTATTATCATTATTATTACTTAACACGAAAGGCACAACAATAATTGAGATAGTCAAATTGAGACTGACTGCCAAAACCTTTGAAAATATCATGTATTGCGTCTTTTGAACGCTTAAGACTTGATCTACATCAATATCNAAAAATACAAAATAAATGTGGTGTAATATCCCAATATGAATCACAGCACATATGACTGTTAACTTGCTTCTCACTGAGGTATCCAGGTTTGTAAGCGGGGTCTCCTTGGTCTCTCTTGGCTCCTGGCAATGGAATGACAAGCAGTGACATGCCTGGCAATGGAAAGTCAGAATCGAGCCAGCCCTCGGTGGCGGTAGTCCGGTTCCTGAGCCTGGCGGGTTCGCAGTATTCCAGGGCACTGCTGATGATAGCACAGCCAGCCTGGCTCATCAGCAGGACCAGGAAGGGCAGACCAGTCACTGGGGAGTTATTCCATTCAGCTCCTGTTACCTGCAAGCCAAAGCCCTAAGGGATAGGGTGGTCCTAGCTGAACAAGCAGCGGGAAAACTTGTCAGACAGTGATATCAATGCAAGCTATGCAGTTTTAGCTGGCTAGACTCCAGCAGTATCCCACCGCACACCTTGGTCCCCAAGCCTTGACTCTTGCCAACCTATGCCAAATACTTCCTGGAATTGGGTAAGCAGGATGCGTCCCTCCAGAGAGAGAGTGCACATTCCAACTATCCCTCTCTGGAATTTTCATATTTAGGTGGGATACATGGAACTTTGTTTGGTCTGGATACTCTTAAGCATGGGGTTCTGTGTGTGTCAGTCACCTGGCTGATCCCAAAAAATATCCAGGCTGCCAGCACCCCTTGTTCCCTCTAGACACTTTCTTCTGTTCACCATTAAACTTTTCAGTCACGTTTCCCCCTCTGTATAACCTCACCAAAACTGTCTTTTAAATAGACGCTTGACCGTGCACGTATGTGTTTCTTGTATGGAATAAAGATAACATAGCAGCACATTTTGAGGCTGCAGCAGATATATTCATTACCCAATGAAGTGTTGCTCTCAGAATATATGACACTATCCAAACCCTTGGACGGGTTACAGTCTAAGTATCTGGCCTCCAATATTTATGCAGTTCTTTGTCCTTCAAACCAGGTTTTGCACACACAGATGCCTATGGGTTTAATTTTTTGCCTGTGTAGCTGACTGGAAGATTTAAAATCATTGAAGCTTCTCCTGAGATGTCTCACTATGTTGCAGATACCCTCTTTTTTATAATCCTTGCCATGAGGCCTTCATCTGTTCTATCCTTTATGCCTGGCAACAGCTGGTCGGAACATGTCACTTTCAGAATTATTCGATTCTTCTTGACTCTCCTCTTCTCTGTTTGCAGCTATCTCGTCTCCTCAAGAGTTCAGCTACAAACTGAAAGGGTTCCATTCATGCTGATGATGCTGTTCCAAGCTCCCTCTCTTATGATGAATGTGCTGTCTGCTGGGTATTCACCATTTTGATGATAGATATGATACTCGTGCTGGCTTCAATATATAGAAATACTCAGCTGAAGTGTCCCTTCCTTTTTGTTCCTTTATTTTTGGAGTTTCACTGGGATAGCCCAATCTTTCCAGTATTGAAGCTTTAATTTCAGCTCCTGTACAAGGAAGTACTTTTGACAAGTGGCTAAAAAGATAAAAGCATGAAAGGCTAACTAACCTTCCCCCAGGTCATACACGCTTTGACAAGGTGGGGCTGTCCAATATTAACAATCCTAGGGGCTGTGCTCTTGTATTTCACAAGCTTTATTAGATCTTGAACAATTCCAGTTTATTCATTGCATGTGATAGTCTAGGACAAGCCCTTTTCAATTCCTAAGTAAAGAGGGTTTTGATACCAACTGTTGACCTTCACACTAACCTCCAACAAACTCAAGCTTGACTATTGAAGTTGATGTTACTAAATTCACTCTGCTAATTACATATACCATTTCTGAATGTTTTAGCCCAGTTCTTCTCCCTCATGACATGAGTTTTTCAGAACAAAATCTCTAGTAAACTTTAGGACACAGACCTTAAAGACGAGAGATCCTCCACGGCCTTAAAGACAAGGTTGATGCCTTTACTTACTGGAGTCTTCCCTCATGTCAAGCCAGATTTTGAACCTGATATGAGCCACCAGTTTACAATGTCTATACCCAAGTACAGGCTAAGATGGATGAGGAGCCTCCATTTCATTTGAAGCATTTAGGTATAACTCTTGTGTTTAAAGCTCCCCTGGTTCTACTGATACTTCTAGTTTTTTAGGTATGATACAGTTGTTGAGTGCTGTTCATTGCTAAGCTTTCCTGTTCGTAAGGCTTCATGTGGCACAGTCACAACATTTCAAATAATCCAGCCACTTACCAGAACACGATTTATTTTTTTTCTTAACCTGAACCTTCTTGTGTCAATTGTCAGATAGCCAGCTGAGATATAGGCCAGAAAATGGATTTATTAGGTTGAAAATAATGGCAGTTCCTGGACCTATATTGTTCACTAATAACACCTCTTATGGGATCATTTGCAAGACATATCCTCTGAGAGTAGGATAAAGATTTACTCTGTCCTGGAAGAAAACTCCTATAGGATGGATAGAGCTGTCTCCTTGATTTCCTCTTTAAATGTGATTATGGCCAGTGTGCATCTCCAAAGATAGAGATGACCCTTTTCTATTTTGTCCAAGTATTGGTTAACTAACCTTTAGATAGAGAGCTTAATCACTGACTGGTACATGTGATCTTCAGTCATCTGCTGAGTTGTGCAGGAACAGATTAAGCCCCTAAATGTATACCTGTGGTAAATCCTCATTTGGAGACATTTGAATTCTTGTACTTCTTAATGAGATTCCTTTATATCGGAAGTAGATCACATTGGAGTGAGATCTTGTGGATTAGTGTGACATATTTCTGGCTACTCAAAGCAGTCCCCCTTTGCATAATTAAGGAATCCTGGTAAGGAATGCTGCAAATTAGATCCTAATGTTAGTTCATTGAGTAATATTCTAGCTGTATTTCTTGAGAATTGTGGTATTGTTCTGCTCATATTACACCTACATTTTTTTTTCTAAAAAAAGGCATAAATGTATCAGTTATTTAAACAATGCCAAAACCTGTGGATGGATTCAGGAGATAATATATCAAACAGTTTGGTTCAAAGATATTTCACTTTCCACAGATAGAAATGTTTACACATTCACGGTTCCTCTAGATGTAATACAAGTACTAAATGCTACACTAAAGTACTCGTGGAGTCCTGTAGCTCAGTGGTTAGAGCACTCGCTTTGCAAGCGAGAGACCTGGGTTCGATTCCCAGCAGAGTGAAACCTTGGGCAAGTTTCCTTACTCCACACGCCTGATCCCACATCCCTCAAAAAAAACAATAATAAGTTGGTCATTTCAATCCATGACTGTTTGTTGGACACTGCTGTGCACAATTGGCTGCCGCATTTCGCCCATTCTGTGAAGCACTTTGAGACGTCTAGAAGATGTGAAAAGCATTATATCAAATGCAAGCATTATTATTATTATAAATAGAGCTCTACAATGGTTGTTGGTAAAGGGTGACCTATGTTGGTTGGTTCATGGGCAATTTTATAACAGTTTTTCACATTTCATAGCCATAATCAATCAATAGTTTGTTAAGTTGGGCTGTTTACTCATTTAATCAATGGATTGCAGCCAGATAGTTGACTATTAATGTGCACCTCAAGCTTTTGTAATCCTGTGTATTGTATATTGAGACCAGATATTATCCTAAAACCACTTTGTGTAAAAGACATTTCTTTTCTCTTTCCAGCCATTCAAAACTTTTTTCTCATCCATTAAACTTTTTGATCGGTTTCAAAAGACGTATTCAAAAACTGGAGAAGCGATTTAAAGAGGACATGAATCCTGATTCATTCTCTGTGTGGATGCAATGAAAAAACGAGCTGGGATTTTCCACCGTTCTTTGAGATTTTATTGTGCTAAATTAATAATTTTAGATGAATAAACAATTGGAAAAACTCTCAGTTGTTATCAGAAATATATCCATGCAAAATGTATTAATGTTTTGAAATTGACTAACAATACATGTGAAACATATCATATTCTTCTTTGGTTTTGTTCCTCTGTTTTTTGAAAAAAATTAGTAAATGTTTTCTCCGGTTTCCTTTGGTCCTTTATTCACAAGCTATTAACTTTTTTCCACTCCTGCTGAGTTTTGACCTTGTAAAACACTCGAAACCCTTCGAAATGCCGCTTTATTGTGTTATTATTGTGTTATGCTTCAAAATTATTGTTCATTTTGCTAATATTTGTTGAATAGAATAACTGCTGGATAAAGGCTCATCAGATAGGTAGTTTATTCAGTGGGTACCTAAACCATACAAAATAGAAAGTTCTCAGGTTCAATCTTCAGCTTGTGCTGAGTTGGCTGATCTCAGTCAGGGAAGCACTAGGGGTGCTAAAATTAGTCTCAGCTTCCTGGGTTAGAGAGTGGAAAGTCACCCAACTACTGATTGCTATCCAGTGATGACTTCTAGAGGTACAGAGAGCATGATGAAGCTCAGATATAATACCCTCTCCCCACTTCTCCCTCCCCCCTACTTTCTCTTATCCCTGTGGTCAAAATGCTTACTGTTACAATTTTGACGTGAATAATAGTCACTTAGGCCAGATATGACTGCTACCTACAGAGTAGAACTGTACACTAAAGGGAAACAAAAGGGAGAGAGGGGAGAAAATTGGAGGAAAAAATTGAGAAGAGAGAAAAATAATGGGACACGATCTTTGTGAAATTCTTTATGCAAATGAAGACAGCAATGTTCTAAACAATATGTTAATGATAATGCAGGGTTGTTCATTCAAACACCAATATTGCTTTGCTCGTGGCATAGTTAACACAACCTTTATCATACCTTATGTAGCATTATTAAAATGATGCTATATAAGCTGTGAAAAAAGTACAAAGTACAGGAAGACCTGAATTAGATCGCTTCAAATATTATGTTAATATTCTCTGACTCCTTATCTCCCATACAAAACATTAACAAGAGTAGCAAAAGCGATAATATTTTTGCAGAGAAAAATACAGTGTCTTTGGCTTCTATCTGTGTGTGAGGAAGTTTAAGGACACAGCTGCTCAATACTTCTATATGTAAGTTTTGTTCTCAATAAAATTTGCTTCTAATTGCTGCAGTGCTGATGTTTCTTTAAAAAAATGTTTTGATGAAGTTAGTAAAGTTTAACTATTTTCTTGGGTTGTGGATGAGCTACAAATTGTGTAGTACACATAGATACAAACACTGTCATAATTAGGCTGCTGTTAATCACTGAAAGAAGCCCTGGGCATTTTCTGTTGCTGGTACTCTTTATAATAATAATCATTCTTTCATTTGATATTGCACCTAGAACATGCAAACATTTCAGAGACCGTACAGCTAATTCTCATCAAGGGTATTGATTGTTTACCTGTAGGCAAACACAGCAAGTTCCCATAAATTGCCATGAAGTGAAAGACCATTTTATCTGAAGGATTGTTGATATAGACTCCAGGAACACACTGTCTTCTCTTTTTGAATAATATCATGGAATCTTTGAGGGCCACCTGAACAGGCAGGTGGAAACACATCTGCCTGTTCAGATGGACTTTAAGGGTCCCTTAACATTGTTTTTCTATCCCAAACTGATAAATAAGACTTTTGGTACTTGTACTGATCAGTATGTTAAGTATTTCCTTTCTGGACATTTGAAAAATGTCCTTTGTCCCTTTCAAAATAAAATCAGATATTTTTGTCCATTTGGGCTAATTATTGAAATGTACAGGACACAAAATAACTTTTCTAAGTATATACATATTTTCCGAATAGAACTAATTCTTATCTTATTGTATTTGTTATTTTGATTCAGAAAAGCCACTGGTGTGTCAGTATGTCACAGGGATAATGCCTTCAAAATAAAACAAATATGAATAAATGATTCATTGTTAGTTTGTTTTGTGATCACTTTTGAATGTTAATAATAATAGTATAATAATAATCCCTGTATTTGATACAGCACCTTACCATGGTATCAAACCATCTCAAATCACTTCACAAGAAGTCTTGTGATCAAAACCATAGTGAATTATTAAAAAAAGGATTCAGATATTACCTGTTCTCAAATTTCAACCGTAAAACCCAAATAAATTGTCTCCAATTAGTTAGCAGACCACTAAATCAGTTTACTTTTAAAAAAAAACTAAAGTTCTTTTATCATTGATTAAAGCAGCATTTCTATCAGCAGTTCAGTATTACAAAAAAAAATTTTTAACAGTATGTGTCCTTTTTTTAAAGAAACAAATGATGTTATGCTTCCACTGGACCTCTGCAGCTTTTGTTTAAATTAAAGGTTTCTCTTGTACCACTGCAGTGAATGAATGTGCATTAATTTCAGTGAGTGAAAAGGCGAACCCAGGCTGCACCCCTGCTGAGATTTAATTTCAGAAAATAATTCTGAGTGCTTTATTCTTCACGGGGGCTGAGTATTAGCCACACACGAAAGGTGGACAGACTGTTGATGAATAAAAAAAGGCACAGTAATTTTGGATGTGAGTGCTATCTCTATGATTGCTCAAGCTCCCAGATAGTCCATCACACTGCAATAATTCACCCAGCGCTGACTCTCACCTCGGTACTGCATTTTCCCCATCAGTCCGATTAGAAACAGCACTGCCCTTATCAGATTAATCTCTTACAATTCTAAACCTGACCTCTGGATAGAAAAGCCTTCTGATGCAAAGTATCATTGCAGGGAACAAGCTTCAACAGCTGACAGCACTCAGCACGGATCATCCTAAAATGGGTCGTCTAATTCACTTCTCCCGTCCCGTAGCTTTGTCTGAAAATGCCAGTCTCCTCTGTAAGTCTGTTTTCCTGTGCTGCCTTTGTACTAGTTTTTTCAAGCAGAAAATAGGTGGTGAGAGGGTCAATGAAGAGGACTTGCTGTGTGTACAGTCAGAAATGATGCACATTAAGGACAAATGTTGTGAGTGGTGGGAATTAAACATGGAATAAACCGAGGGATATATTCAACCCAAAACATAAGGAAATATGATTTTTTTTAAATGCCTGGTTCTTTGAGAGGTGCCAGCAGCAGCTATGAGGTGTAAAACATGCTGACTTCAGTAGGTCAGCTGTATTAAACTGAAAAACTATTTTCTTTTTAAAGTTTGTTCCAGAAAAACTGCACAATAAGAAGTACTTGATTTGGCGGATCGCTTTTCCGGGCATTATAATCCCTTCAAAAACATTTGTTTTTAAAATTTGGTCACTCAATCCACGACTGTTCGTGGGATCCTGCTGTGCGCAATTTGCTGCCGCGTTTTGCCCACAATTCACTTTGTAATATATTCTGCGAAGCACTTGGAGACATCTCAGTGACATGATAAGGTGCTATATCAAAGGCGAGGATTATTAATATTATCAGTCCAGAGAGGTTTTGGGCATTGCTCTAAATTCAGCATTGGAAATTCAGCATTGGAAATGGATAGAAAGTCAATTTTCCAAATGCCAAATGGAAGCAAATGGCCCAGTTAAGAGAGCATTTGAAAGCAGTTGATGTTGAAAACATTGAACAGTAAATATAGAATATTTTGTGTTGAAGATNAAAAAAAAGTTTGCCCCAGTCAAAGCCGTATCCTCTGACATACATATTTTATGCCACTTTATTTTAGAAAAAAAATCAGATAATGGGGGGTGAAAAATGCCATGGTTTAAAACAGATTTGATGTGGTATTAAGCAAGATCACATTTTGCACTTCACTATTACAGGATTAAAGTGCTCTGTGTTAAACTTTGTGATAATTTCAAAATATCCTGCTGGAAATGCTGTATATTTATTTTTCAACAAACAAACAAACTACAATACACACACTTCTGGTGCACACTTTAATGTAGCAATGTGAAAACATTCCAAGTTGGTGTACTATATTTGAAATGATCTGTTTCAATCAACTCAAATCAACACCATCTCCCCACTGGTGAAAAGACAGGAGTGCATGGCTCTGAACTGCATGTGTGTTTAAAAAAACCTAACCATGGATGTTAACATTTGTGGAAGTCTGTGACTTTGATTTTCTTTCTCCAATCAAATAAACAATGATTGCTGAAATAAAAGCAATCATAAACATAAATTCTCCACAATTCCTTTATTGCATGTGCAAAGAAGTAAGAAGCTTAGACATTGCAGTACATTGCACCTCATCAATTAACACTACCACAGAGTTCCTAGGTTTGTGACGCATTGCTCTCACGGTAGTTTTTTTATTCATTTGGTGAAAGGATCACAGGATTTTTTAAAAAGTAAAATCATAGGCCCTACTCCTGTTCTGCTCCGTCTGTGCATTTCAGTGCCTCAAAAGAAAGCGTTGTTCTGCACTAAGGAGATACATGTAATAATAGTAATTCTTGCATTTGGTACAGTGTCTTTCACGCTGGAGGATGTCTTGGAGAGCTTCATGCAATTTACTGTGAAGTGAAGTGACTGTATTTGGTCACTCATGGCAAACATGGCAGTCCATTTGCACAAAGCAAGGTCCCAAAACAGTCATGAAATGAATGACAAATTTTATTTGGGGGATTGTTGGCCGGGACATTGGGGGAAACACCCCTCTCTTTTCAAATAGTGTCATTCAACAAAACAGGCACACAGGACCTCAATTTAACATCTCATCTGAAGAGCAGCACCTCCGTCGATGCAACTCCCAAGCACTGCATTGGAGCGTCAGCCTAGACCGTGAATTGAAAGTTCGTGGAGCTTGAACTCACAACCTTCAGACTCTGAGGCAAGAGTGCTACCAATTGAACCAGGCTGACGCATGTAAAATATCCTCCACTGTGGCTTTCAGAAACAGCTGGAGCAGGCACACTGGCAAGTTCATCTGTAACTTTAACGATCTTTACTTTTATTAAAAATGGTAGTCTTAATGAGCTAGAATTATGTCAGGCACTGAAGAGTCTCATAATTCTGCCATCTCTAA